CCCCCCCCCCCCCCCGTGTGGGTCTGCGCTCTGTGCTGCTGTGTGGGGAGGGCTCTGTCAGTACCAGCCCGAACCAGATCCTGCCACACCTGAAAACATCTATCTGACAAAAAGAGTGGAAGCTCCAATCTTGTCTAGCTCTTTCAGTTCATATTTAATGCAACCAGGTCCTAAGACAGACCAGAAAAAGGGGGCAGTCTCTTGCCGTATTTCCTACCAAGGCTTGATTTACTGTAGATAATTCAGCCTCTCGGGTTAAAGGCCAGGTCAGTGTTTTGGAACTTGCACATCTCTTCTTAGCCTGACCCTCTGCCCTTCGCCAGGGAGCTGACCCTCCTGATGGCTCTGAGATCGCAGGTGTGGCCGAGCAGTGTGGGAGGAGCAAGGGTGCTGATGCTGCAGGCATGGTTCCTTTAGGGGCTGTGTGTAGCGTAGCAAGTAGTTGGCACTCAGAACCAGCGTTACATATTGTAAAGTTACGGTGACTGGAATTATGTGGGAGGGTAAGAAATAACTGGCAATTCAGTGGGGTAGGACAGATGGTCTGGAAACAAAGCCTGAAATGTATAGTAAAGGTGGGGGGTGTCAGATAGGTGGAAGAGATGAGGACTAGTCAGTAGAAGATTTTGGAATAGTCACATAGCCATGGGCCCGTAGGTAGCTTGTCAATTAAGGTACTAGACTCCCACATGGCCCACTGTGGTCCCAGTCCTGGACATAGTGACTTGAAAGTCACACCGGCCATGTGTGCATGTGTACCCAAAATCCTGGAGGGGGGAGAGAGGAGAAGGGATTGTGGTGTGACCATCTGACCTGGGAGGTGATTTCTCTCTTCCCCTCTTCCTGTGTCTCTCTGGTGGGCACATATGTCCTATGGCAAAAACCTGGGGGCGGGAAGTGCTTTTCATAACACACAAAAAGAAATTCCAAGTGAAGAGTCGACTGCAGAAGAAAAGAATTTTTGTTCTTATCTTTAGGTGAAAGTACAGTCAAATTTATTTCATTTTGAAACAGGTGAAAACTTACTAACCGTAAAAGGAAAGGAAGAAATCACAAAGTGGAAAAAAAGTGAAAAAAGTCAATTTTGGAAGGTACAGATGTTACAAGTATTATATTAGGTTGGTGCACAAGCAATTATGATTTTGAACTGTAAATTTTAAATCACAATTAGACTCAAACACCTATTTATTAATCAAAATAGGGACCTTTATCATCAACATATTTTCCCCAGTGAGAAATGTTTCTATTTTCCTGTAGCTTAAAAATCTGTACATCAGCATTAAACAAACTCTTGGAAAGTACCCTCTGCTGGTGTGGAAGCATTTTTCCTGCAAAAAGTGTTGAGGTGCTTGAAGAAATGGCAGTCATTTGGCCAGAGGTCAGGTGAATAAAGTGGATGAGGTGAGCTTACGTAGTCCGATTCACTTAACTTTGGAAGCATCGGTTGTGTGAGGTGTGGGCAGGCGTTGTCACGGACCGGAAGCGGCCCTCTGTGGCGACCGGTGCTGGCCACAGAAGTTGCGGTTCCAGTGCAGCGGAGCTGTACCCACCTGCTGAGCACACTTCCCACATGTGATGGTCTCACAGGGATTCAGAAAGCTGTCGTGGGTCAGACCCCACCAAACGTGAAACCACTGAGCTGGTCATCACTGGTTATCGTTGTAAGATCCACTTTTCATTACACGTCACAATCCAATCGAGAAATGGTTTGTTTTTATGCAGAATAAGAGACCACTTCAAAACAGTTCTGTTTTGGGCCAGCTCATGAGGCACCCACTTCCTGAGCTTTCTCACCTTTCTCATTTGCTTCACATGCCCAGCAACTGTAGAATGGTTGATGTTGGGTTCTTCGGCAACTTCTCACATAGTTGGAAGAGAATCAACTCGGATCGTTGCTTGTGGTTGGTGTCAACCTCTGGTGGCCGGCCACTACGCTCCTCACCTTCGAGGGTCTCCCCACCTTTGTGGAACTTCTTGAGCCACACGTTTGTTAGCAGCTCCTGGGACAGTGCGTTGCTGTTGTGACTTGCCCCTCTGCTGGACAGCTCAATTTTCAATTTGTTTGAGAATCACTCAGATTTGGTTTTGACTTGAAAGTCACACCGGCCATGTGTGCATGTGTACCCAAAATCCTGGAGGGGGGAGAGAGGAGAAGGGATTGTGGTGTGACCATCTGACCTGGGAGGTGATTTCTCTCTTCCCCTCTTCCTGTGTCTCTCTGGTGGGCACATATGTCCTATGGCAAAAACCTGGGGGCGGGAAGTGCTTTTCATAACACACAAAAAGAAATTCCAGGTGAAGAGTCGACTGCAGAAGAAAAGAATTTTTGTTCTTATCTTTAGGTGAAAGTACAGTCAAATTTATTTCATTTTGAAACAGGTGAAAACTTACTAACCGTAAAAGGAAAGGAAGAAATCACAAAGTGGAAAAAAAGTGAAAAAAGTCAATTTTGGAAGGTACAGATGTTACAAGTATTATATTAGGTTGGTGCACAAGCAATTATGATTTTGAACTGTAAATTTTAAATCACAATTAGACTCAAACACCTATTTATTAATCAAAATAGGGACCTTTATCATCAACATATTTTCCCCAGTGAGAAATGTTTCTATTTTCCTGTAGCTTAAAAATCTGTACATCAGCATTAAACAAACTCTTGGAAAGTACCCTCTGCTGGTGTGGAAGCATTTTTCCTGCAAAAAGTGTTGAGGTGCTTGAAGAAATGGCAGTCAGTTGGCCAGAGGTCAGGTGAATAAAGTGGATGAGGTGAGCTTACGTAGTCCGATTCACTTAACTTTGGAAGCATCGGTTGTGTGAGGTGTGGGCAGGCGTTGTCACGGACCGGAAGCAGCCCTCTGTGGCGACCGGTGCTGGCCACAGAAGTTGCGGTTCCAGTGCAGCGGAGCTGTACCCACCTGCTGAGCACACTTCCCACATGTGATGGTCTCACAGGGATTCAGAAAGCTGTCGTGGGTCAGACCCCACCAAACGTGAAACCACTGAGCTGGTCATCACTGGTTATCGTTGTAAGATCCACTTTTCATTACACGTCACAATCCAATCGAGAAATGGTTTGTTTTTATGCAGAATAAGAGACCACTTCAAAACAGTTCTGTTTTGGGCCAGCTCATGAGGCACCCACTTCCTGAGCTTTCTCACCTTTCTCATTTGCTTCACATGCCCAGCAACTGTAGAATGGTTGATGTTGGGTTCTTCGGCAACTTCTCACATAGTTGGAAGAGAATCAACTCGGATCGTTGCTTGTGGTTGGTGTCAACCTCTGGTGGCCGGCCACTACGCTCCTCACCTTCGAGGGTCTCCCCACCTTTGTGGAACTTCTTGAGCCACACGTTTGTTAGCAGCTCCTGGGACAGTGCGTTGCTGTTGTGACTTGCCCCTCTGCTGGACGGCTCAATTTTCAATTTGTTTGAGAATCACTCAGATTTGGTTTTTGTCTAACTTCATTTCCATAGTCTAAAATACATATAAATTAGACAGCAAGTTGTAAGTCATGTGCAAAAAAATAAGTCAAGGGAGAAATACACATTAAGATGATGTATAACATAACCACATTTATTTAACGATGTATCTCACAGCATATGCCAAATTTCTTTTTTTAAAGAGAGATTTTTGCTATAGGGTGCATGTACTCGCCAGAGACACATAGAGACGGAAAGCGAGAAATCGGCCCCCAGCGGGCTTGCCCATGCCACAATTCCTTCTCTATTCTCTGGGATTTGGGGCATGCATGTGTACCCGGCTTGAGTTTTAAGCCGCTCAGTCCAGGACTGGAACCCCGGTCGACTACGTAGTAGTCCAATGAAGTAATAATTATGCCACCTGCTGGACCCTCAAATGGCACAGGTCAACAGTGTAAATCCAGTTACTTTTGCACCAACCTAATAAATAAGGGATTAATACCCTCAATATATAAGAAGCTCATAAAAATGCTAAGAACTCTCAGATATGCAGAAAAATAGTCAAAGGATGTGAACAGATAATTCACAGAAGAAATACAAATGACTGATAAAAACGTAAGAATATTCCCTCACTGATCATCAGACACGCAGATTAAAATCGGATAATCATCTTTTGCCTTTGAGATGAACTGAGAATGTCGCAGTGATAATATCAGATTTTGTGAGGATGCTACAAATAGGCCTTATACATTGTTGGTGGAAGTGTAACTTTCTGACAAAGATTACACACTTTTTTAGAAAAAAGAATTGTTTTTTTTTTTTTGAGAATTTTTTGCTGTAGGGCACATGCACTCGCCAGAAAGACAGAGACAGAGAGACAGAAAGTGAGAAATCACCCCCCCAGGGGGGATGGGCACGCTGCAATCCCTTCTCCACTCTCCTCTCAGGATCTTGGACACGCACGCACATGCACACACCCGGCATGAGTTTAAGCCACTGGGTCTGGGACTCAAATGTAGTCGACCACATGGGAGTCCAGCAACATAGCCATTACACTAATTGCTGGTTCTCAGAAAAAAGTATTTATTATATTATCATTATCATTATTATTATTATTATTAATTTGCTATAGGGCTTGTGTGCTCACCAGAGAGATGAGAGTGAGAAAACAAGCCACCAGGTCTGGGACTCAAACCACAGTCAGCCATATGGGAGTCCAGAGCCTTGAACCACCACGCCACCTGCTGGCTGTGAGATCACACTTTAAAAATATTTCCCTTTTTAGGGAAATCTAGCTTAAGGTAAATATGTTAAAATATCCCCAAATCGGAGCAGCAGATAGCATAATGGTTGTGTCACTTGACTCCCGTGTGGCTGACTGCAGTTTAAGTTCCAGACCCAGCAGCTTGGAACTCATGAGCACGTGTTTATACATGCCCCAGATCCCGAGAGGAGAATGGAGGAGAAGGGATTGTGGCGTGGCCATCCCCCCTGGAGGGTGATTTCTGACTTTCTCTCTCTCTGTCTCTCTGGTGAGCACATGCACGCTATAGCAAAAATCTCGCTTAAAAAAAAAAATCCACAATGATTGATGTACAAAAGTGTTCACTTTATTGGTATATGAGTATAAATGCAAAAAAATTGGAAACGATCTTAACGATGGGAGATTTGTTTAAATAGTAATATGTATGTATGTATGCACGAATATCACACAGTCATTAAAATTTTCATTTTCAAAGTAATTGAGATACAAGTTTTTTGTAAGATTGTATAGAAAACTGCATATGGTATTATTCCAGTTACACTAGAAGTAATACACATATACACAAAAAAGACTAAACAGAAATTAGAAGCTTTCAGTGGTGAGTCATGGCTGTATTTCATTTTCTTTTTTGTCCCTTTCTGTGTTTCTGAATTCTCTGTAATAAGTTTGGATTTCTCTTTGTACAAGAAAAACTTCAGATGTCTATGTATATTTATCGGCTATACTCCCAGCTGTTTATTACGTGAGCTTTTCTTCTCTTTTTTTTTAGAAAGATTTTTTGCTATAGGACATGTGCACACATCAGAGACATGGAGAGAGACAGAAAGGGAGAAATCACCCCCCAGGGGGTTGGCCACAGTACAGTCCCTTCTTCTCCATTCTCCTCTCGGGATCTTAGGTGCACACGTACACACGCCTGACGTGAGTTTTAAGCCTCCGGGTCTGGGACTTCAACAGTATCGACCACGCAGAAGTCCAGCGACATAGCCATCACACCATCTGCTGGTCCCTTGCCAGCCGTTTATTAAGTGAGCTTTTCTGCAGCCTTCTCTGCCAAAGTAAGGAACAATTTTGCCATTTTAGTGCAAGTTGAGAAAAGAGTTTTGGCAAATTTGACTACAGTATTACAGCAACATTGCAAGCAGCCGACAGAACAGTTCTACCGCTCTGAATTATGTTATTAAGAAAGTGTTTTTGGGGGGTGGCAGGTGGTGTGGTGGTTAAGGACACTGGACTCCCACATGGCTGACCACAGTTCAAGGCCTGGACCTAGTGGCTCGTTTTCTCACTTCCCTCTCTCTCTGTCTCTGTCTCTCTCTGGTCAAATTTAAATAAATAAATAAAGTTAAATAAAATAATTCTCTAAAAAGAAAAACAAAAAGAAAATAAAGTGTTTTGGAACCAGCAGATGCATATTGGTTATGTCACTGGACTCCCATGTAGTTGACCATGGTTCGAGTCCTGGACCCAGTTGCTTAAAACTCACACCAGGCATGTGCGCATGTGTGCCCAAAATCCTGAGCAGAGAGTGGAATAGAAGGGACTGGCGTGGCCATCCCCCGGGGGTGATCTCTCACTTTCTCTCTGTCTGTCTAGTCAGTGCACATGCCCTATAGTCAAAATCTCTAATAAAAAAAGTGTTTTATTTGGAGGCCAAGTCTATCGTTATGTAGACACATGCCCCACACAAATGGTTACCTGCGAGGTGTTCCTGTGTGTGCACCTCGCCACCTAAACATTTGCTGTCTGCTCTCACGGTGTTATCTAAACCCACGGAAGCACCAGGATTCTGTGTTCCAGTGGCCAGCCCAAGGAGAATGGGATTTAATTTGCGATTACAGGCGAATGTGTAGACACGGAGGCCAAAACCGCCTTGTAGCATTGTTGTTTCTGATGATGTTGCTAGGAGCTTCGGAAGTACAAGGAGAACGAGAAGGACACGGAGGTGTTAATGTCAGCCCTCTCAGCCATGCAAGACAAAACACAGCACCTAGAGAACAGCCTGAGCGCAGAGACCAGGATCAAGCTGGACCTGTTCTCCGCCCTGGGCGACGCCAAAAGGCAGCTGGAGATTGCCCAAGGTAGGGAGCAGTGGGCCGGGCGAGGTGGGGTAACTGAGCGTGCACAGCACGCCGAGAGCGGAGCCCCCAAGAGCTCTGGCCCAGAGGGCATTTCAGTGTTCCCTTCAGGTGGTTTTGTAAGTGTAGAAGCCATCGCGTTAATTCATCTGTGGGCAGATTTTGAGACGAGAGCACGTCGCGTGCAGGCCACGCAGGGGAAAGTGTGGATTTCGGTATCCAAGGAGCCTGCTGTGGTGTCGAGGAAGAAGAGAACCGCAGAGTCGTCAGGAGATGCCGGGGTAGCAGCGCACAGGGCCTGTGGGAGTGGAGACGGAAGCCAGGCCTGCCCCAGTTGGGGCTCAGAGAGGGCCGTTCCCAGGGGAGCCGATGAGTGAGCGGGGCTGCTGATGAGAACGGGCTGGCTGGCAGAGCAGCAGCGGTGCAGGGTGAGGGGCACGGGCAGAGGAGCACAGAGGCTCACGAGGAAGGAGCAGCTTCCACAGAGGAGTCAGGTACGATTGGTTGGGTTCCGAGCCGCGGCTGGCCTGCGTGCCTGGCGTGGAGGCTGCGAGTGAAGAAATGCCGTGGGAGTCTGGAGAGCAGGCCAGCCACGTGGCAGCTGCTTAGGCTGACTGCCGCGCACTGCAGTTCCCTGGCGAGGACACACTCTGAAGCAGCCAGGAGGAAATGCATCAGTTGGCAGTAGGTGCGGGCATGGAAATAAAGCGGTGGCGAGGCAGGAGGGGGGTGTGCAGGGCTGCCTTTGGTCAGGACGGGAAGGAGCATGGTCATGAGCCCCACAGGTAGTGGGGGAGCACTGCCTGCCGGGGGAGCCACGTGCAGGCCCGACCTGGGAGCAGGCAGGGTGTGGGGGTGCTGGCCCGACTCGATGTCACCAGAGTCCCCGAGGCAGGAGCTGTGACAGCCAGATTCTTCCTGTGGGACTTTGGGCCTGTGAGTAAAACTTGGGACCTTACTGTGGTTGACACCGGGGGCTCTGGAAGGCTCTGAACGGAGGAACGGAGGGGCGTGATGGACACAAGTTTGGGTTTGGTCCAATAAATTGATTAGCTACCGAACAGACTAGAGTGCTGGAAAATAGAGTCCTGAAAAGTATTCGAAAGAGTCTTTCGACAGGGAGTTACAGAGCTGTCCCACTCTCTGCCTATTGTCCTGGAAGCTCGAGGGGAGACGGATGAACACAACAGAACCCAGTGAGGAGCTGCGAGGACAGTGGTACGCAGACTTGGTCTTAGGAACCCCTTTACACCTTAAAATTACTGACTACACCAGAGAGGTCTGCTTCAGGTGGATTGTATCTGTCAGTATTTCCCTTCTAGAAATGAAAACCTTTACTTATTAATCCATTTAAAAATAATGTAATAGCAAAAAAAAAAAAAAAACCTCTCCAAACAATAATAAATTAAAAAATGTAATAAACATATTACATGTTATGTGAATGACATGTTTTTATGTATTTTCCAAAACAAACAAAATTAGTGGGCCAGCCAGTGGCGTAGAGGTGATGGTGGCTGGATCCCTCATGGCTGACTATGCAGTTCAAGTCCCAGAACAGGCAACTTGAGAAACATGCCCAGCACGTGTGCATTCATGCCCAAGATCCCAGGAGGAGAGGAGAAGTTGCTGTGTGTGCATTCCCCTGGGGGGGTGATCTCTCACTTTCTCTCTCTCTCTTTCTCTCACATGTACATGCCCTATAGCAAAATTAAAAATAAAAAAGAAGAGGGCCCAGCAGTTAACATAATGGCTATGTCGCTGGACTCCCATGTAGTTAACCATGGTTTGAGTCCCAGACCTGGTGGCTTAAACTCACGCCGGGCGCGTGTGCGTGCGTGCCCGAGATCCCAAGAGGAGAATGAAGGAGAAGGGATTGCAGCGTGGCCATTCCCCCTGGGGGGTGATTTCTCGCTTTCTATCTCTCTGTCTCTCTGTCTGTCTGGCGAGCGCACGCACTCTATAGCAAAAACCTCTCCAAAAAATAAATAAATAACGAAGAAGAGAAAAGTGGCATCGTTTTGCAGATCTCTTTAATGTCTGACTTAACAGGAGTGTGTTTGATTCTCATCTCCTTGTACATTCATTTCTTTGTGATGAAAATGAATTTCTAGACGCAGTGGAGTGAGCCCCTCCACCCTGCATGCCCGTGTGTCAGGGCTCTGCATTGCTGCTCCCACAGGAGGGCTTCCCCCAGCCTTCACGTGACTCGCTGGCTCACTCCCCTCTTCCTCTCCACCTCTCTCAAATGCTACCTATTCAAGGGATCCTCCAGGACCCCTGTCGAAAGAGCAGCCCTGCGCACCTTCAGTGTTAGGAAGGCAGTTTGGGCTCTGTGACCCTGACCACATCTGAGCTTGCCACGCTAAGGCACACCATGCAGAAAGGACTGCTGCCATTAGATAGAGGCAGAGGACGAGAAAGGCCAGAGGAGAGATCTAGGAGGGCTTCATGAAGAAGGTGACATTGAATAGAATTTGAAGGATGACTTCTGAGAGCAGAAGATGGCAGCGAAGAACACTGTCACCTCAGGGAGTAATGGCAACAGAG